CTCGATGAATGTCTTGATACTTTTACCCAGGTGTTTTAGATGTTACGGTACAAAGTACGACCAAAGTTAATTAATTTTCTAAATGAGTATCGTGAACACAATAGAGACACTTTTTAAAAAACTAACTATTTTGTTAGTTATTGAAGCGGCCTAACATTTCGGGAGACTGGGTCGACGGTGTTGAGGAGCGAGCTAAGAAAAAAAGAAAGTTCGAAATTATCAGCATTTTCGCCCCTCGCAACACGGTAGGGTTATGTAAGAGGCAGGACCGAATTTGACGTCCATCTTCGATAAGACCGAGCCAAATGGGAAAACTTGGTTAAAGTACCTCTTCAATGGACAGAATGTCGGACCGAGCTGAGTCTTGAATCCCCGAACTTGCAATATCACAATTTATTTTTAGCTGACCTTTCTGAAAACCTTGTATCCATTTAATTGAGACCTTAATTTAACTTCCAAACCTCAGAAGGTTAACTTGATATCCAAAAAATATTATTATCATACTTACTGCACGCCAAAAAATTGTCCCTGTAAGTAGACCGTTAAGATAGTGGGACTGGGATTGGGTAGGGGGCAAATTTGTGAACTGGTGGAATATCTACCAATTAGTAAAACATAGTAATTTACAGTAGGCCCATATTGACTGGTTTGACATGCTAAACTAAACGGAACAAGAAAGAACTACTGAAGGGATGATAATAATAACAATAATAGTAATAATAATAATAAAAATAATAATACTAATTACGATTGTGAGGCAACGTGATGGAATCAGGATCTTGTCAATTTTGGGGCATGTAGAGTTATTAGTATCATCGTAAGGCTTATTCACTTGTCTTTATTTCTTTATTTGGGTGAAAAAAACTTACATTTACCTTGAATACAAGTCGAGATATTTGCCAAAGAAGGAGGTGGGGGTCAGTTGTTTTCAAAGGTAAAATTAGTGAGAAAATGGCCGCCAAAGATTAGTTATTTCCTTAGCTTAAGAGTCGGTGGTAACTGAAAATTTACATTTTTGTGCCTTTAATCGACGCTTTTCCGAAAAATCCACTC